TTTATAGCCTAGCATGGGTCTGCCTTTGTGTGTGTGTGTGTATGGGGGGGACTGGGGTTTGAATCCAGGGCCTCATGTATGTTAGGCAAGCAATCTATCACAAGTCACCTCCCCAGCCCCTAGAACTTCTTTGATAATATCTTTCAGTCATTTTTCAAAAGTGCCAAATAAGATGGTTGATAGTATTTTCAGATCTTTGTTTTTACTGAAATATTCTAATTCTATCAATTGCTGAGAGTGTTAGACACCTCCAACTCTGAATTTGCTTCAATTCTATTAAGTTAGTAAAAATCTTTTTAAGGTACTGGGATTTGAACCCCAAGGATGCTTTCACTGAGCCACATCCCCAACCTTTTTTTTGACAGGGTCTCACTAAATTGCCTAGGGCCTTGTTAAATTGCTGAGATTGACCTAGAAATTGAAAATCCTCTTGCCTCAGCCTCCTGAATGGCTGGGATTATAGGTGTATACACAACAAGTCTAGCTAATACACACTTTTTTATGACTTCTTGATGAATTAAATCTTTGGTCTGGAAATGCTCAACATTATCTCCATTAATACTGTGTATCTTGAAGTTCACTTTATTTGCTGTTTATAGGGACATTCCATTCTTTTTAAACTTTATTTTAATTTTTTTAGTTGTAGTTGGCCACAGTACCTCCATTTTATTTATTTATTTTTTGCTTGTTTATTTCCCGAACATCCAAGTTTTTATCTGTACCATTTCCCTTTAGCCAGAAATTTAAAAAATGAAAAAAAAAATGTAGTGTTCTTCTGCTGTTAGTGAATTCTCAGTTTTCACTGTTGTGGAAAAATGTTTATTTTGTTCTTTTATGTTGTTGCTGCAGATTAAACCAGGTCTTGTGCACACTAAGCATAAATTCTACCATTGATTTATGCTCCCATTTTTTTTTCTTTTCCTTTTTTTTGGTGGTAATGCTTGGATTGAACCCAGGCAGAGGCTCAAATATGCTATACTCTATCACTAACTACATACCTAATCTCAAACTCTTGGATTCAGATGATCCTCCTGTCTCAGCCTCCCAAATAAATTGGGACTACAGATATATACCACTGCTATCTGGTTTGGTTGGTTGGTTGGTTTTGCAGGGTGGGGTGTGGGGTGATTGAATTTAGTGGCACTCAACCACTGAGCCACATCTCCAGCCCTTTTTCATATTTTATTTAGAGACCGTCTCACTGAGTTGTTTAGCTCCTCGCTTTTGCTGAGGTTGGCTTTGAATTTGTGATCTCCTGCCTCAGCCTCCCAAGGCCCGTTATCTGTTCTTGAAAATTATTTTTCCTTGGATGTAATTCTGGGTTGACAGGTGTGGGTTGTTGTTTGTTCTTTCCCTTTAATTTCAGCATTTTAAAGATATCTCCCTCTGTCTTATGTTTTCTACTGTTCCTGATTTGAAAGTCAGCATTTGTATGTACCCTTGTATCTTCATTATTTCTTCTTCTCCTCCTTCTCCTCCTCCTCCTCCTTCTCCTTCCTTCCTTCCTTCCTTCCTTCCTTCCTTCCTTCCTTCCTTCCTTCCTTCCTTCCTTCCTCCTTCTTTCTTCTTTCTTCTTCTTCTTTCTTCTTCCTTCTTCCTTCTTTTTTCTTCCTTCTTTCTTCCTTCTTCTTCTTCCTTCTTCTTTCTTCTTTCTTCTTCCTTCTTCCTCCTTCTTCCTTCTTCCTCCTCCTCCTCCTCCTTCTTCTTCTTCACAGTATGCATGATCTACCACTGGATGACCTCCTCTTTTTATTTTGAGATAGAGTCTTGCTAAGTTGCCTAGGGTGTTTGTCAAATTTGTGCTCCTCCTGCCTCAGCCTTCCTCTAATCCGAAATCACTGGGATTACATGCATGCCCCATGGTTCTGATTCACTTGTTTATCTTTAGATGTTATTTCTCTTTGGTTCTTTTTAAAATTTTATCATTCTCATCTTTGATTTTTAGTAGTTTGACTGTAATAGCCTGGTTGTGGGTTACTTTGCATTTGGATACTCAACGCCTCTTGAATATATAAATTGATGCCTTTAACCAAATTTGGAGTATTTATTGAAATGTTTTCTGTTCCATTTGCTCCTCTTCTGCTGGAACTCAAATGTATGGTTTTTTATGACAGTTCTCTGAGTTCTTGTTCATTTTCCCCATCTCCTTCAGATTAGGTAAATTTATCTTAATCTTTCCTCAGGTTCTCATACTGTTTTAACATACTCTATACTCATCCTTGAATTTTTTATTAAGTTTTTGTATTTTTCAATTCCAGGATGTTCCTTTATTTTTTAATTAGTTTCTGTTTCTTGAGATTGTCCAGTTGTTTGTTTTTTAAATATTTTTCAGTTGTAGATGGATACAATATCTAAAATTTTTACATGGTGCTGAGGATCAAACCCAGTGCCTCACAGTGTTTTACAAGCAATCTACCACTGAACTACAGCCCCAGCCTCAGTTGTTTGTTCTTTATGAGCATAATTCCTTTATATCCATTAGCATCATTGAATAATTGCTTTGAAATCTTAATCTGCTAAACCCAAATCTGTTTCATCTTGTGGGGGCTCTCCATCAGTTGTCTTTTGAGTACTGAAATTTGTTTTATCTATTTAGATCTGCTAATTTTGGATTATATCCCAGACATTGTAAATGATACTTGTAGTGTATGGATTCTCCTCCCGAGAGTGTTGATTTTCACAGTTTTGTTTTGGCAGATGGTTAATCTGACTGAATTCAAACCCTAAACTCTGTCTCCCTTTTTTTTTAAGACAGCAATTAAAATATTTATTAATTTCTTATGCATAAATACAGAATTGCTTAGAGCCTATCATGTGAACATATAGTTTCAGTGATTCACCAGAGATTTGATTAGAGTTTATATGCATATTTGGGATTTCTTCCTCTTAGGCCTTCTCTTTTTTAGAATTAACCCCTTGACTTGTAGCTGCTGTGGTTGTCTCAAAACTTCTCTTACCTTTGATTTTTCAAGCCAGCAAAACTTTGGGCTTCTATGTGAGTTTGAGTTGCTCCTTTCTCCTATTGTGGTACCCGCTCAGTGAGGCATAGCCTCAGGCCAAAATCTATGAATCACTAGGACCTTTCCTCCTTCAAAGTGTTAGTTCCTCCTCAATTTTTACTTTGGTCATTCCATAGTACCGCCACGTAATTGTTTTACAGTATGTTGCCCTGGGAGAGGAGATTTGATGGGACAGTTTAGTCAATATAAGAAGTGGAAATTGGGCTGGGTTTTTTGGCTCAGGTAGTGTGCTTGCCTAGCCTGTGAGAGGCACTGGGTTCGATCCTCAGCAACACTTAAAAATAAAGATATTGTGTCCACCTATAACTAAAAAATAAATATTAAAAAAAGCGGAAATTCTCTGAGTTTAGAAAGTAAGGATTACATGTAGTTGCTTCAAAACAACAGAATGATAGTTACTATTTGTATGGCATTTTTTTTAATTATAAAAGAAATTTAATGTAGATTATCTGACTTATAATGATTATTAATGAAAGTGTTGTACTTTTGGCCAAAAAACCTGGGCAGGAAATTTGAAGCCTAATTTTTAAATATTTATTATTTTACTTATAGATGGGCACAATGTCTTATTTTATTTTCATGTGGTGCTAAGGATCGAACTCAGGGCCTCAGGCATGGTAGGCAAGCGATCTACCTCTGAGCCACAACCCCAGCCCTTGAAGCCTAAATTAAGCATAATTATATGAAAAAATTATATGATTGCTAAAAGCAAGAAGCGAGGAAGAAGATAGTTGAAACTTAAAGATATGGTTAGGAATAGAAGAATTTGTGTCTTTGGGGGAAAAATGATACTGTTACCAGGTAGACAAGAGATGAAGAATAAGTATAAAGTTCTATTTTCTTGCTACCTGATTCTTTTGGTTCTTTAAATTTCAACTTAAGCTTCTTTGTATGACCATTTTTCTCTGTCCATTTTAAACTAGAATTATAGTTTACCACCTTTCCCCAACTCTCATTCTTTCATATAGGACCCTTGGTTTTATTGTTGCTTTTATTCTAAAAACTTGTATTTCATAATCTGTAAAATACTTATAATTTGACATTTTGAAAATAAATTTGGTTTCTCTTTGTTCACTACACAATAAGGTCCATAGGGATCAGAACCATATTTTTGTATGCCTAGCTCCTAGGCTACTGCCTAAGAGTATTTGAAAATGAAATGAATGAATGAATGATATCTAGACAAACATGTACACACATGAGTACCAAGCAATGCAGAGAGGTACAAACATATATTGTTCATTTTTTTTTTTTTTTTGTCGTCACCTTAATCTGGAAAGAGGTGATGGGTATGAATTTAAGAAAGTCATTAAGGGAATGTTTTAAATTGGGATGAGGAAAAAATTTACAAGAGATTTGGGAAAATCAGTAAAATAACAAAGGCAAGAGTCAATCAATTACTTTGTGGATTAGTAATTAAATAGGGTTTTTTGTTTTTAGATTTTTTTTTTTTTTAGTTGTAGATGGACACAATATGTTTATTTTAAATTTATTCTAATGTGATGCTGAGGATCAAACCCAGTGCCTCACTCTTGCAGGGCAAGCACTCTGTCACTGAGCTGCAACCCCAATCCCCTAACTAGGATTTTTGGTTTTTTTAATATTTTTGCAGTGCTGGGATCAAACCCAGGATCTTGAATATGGTAGGCAAATGCTCTACCATTTAGCTATGTCCCCACCCATTCTTTTTCTTCTTTATTTAACTATAAATTTGTGGAATATTATAAGATATTGGTTTTATGCTAGGCAGAATTATGGGGCTCCCCTCCTCCCAAATGAATTAGGATATCGTCTTGAGTAGTGAGACACTTGAAACATGGAGATGAGTGGTGAAAAGCAATCAAGTACTTTTAGTTTCTTTTTGCTACTGGGTTTTAGCATTCCTAGCACATGATAGGAAGCATGTTAAAAAGTAAGAAGAATTATTTATAGGTTATTATACTCAGTTTTTTTAGTGTTAAAACTTGCTTGTCTTGACAGCTCTTGGATAAGCATAAGAACACAGAGAGCATGGTGGAGCTTCTGGACTTATATCAGATGGAGGATGAAGCCTATAGCAGCCTTGCAGAAGCAACAACTGAACTCTATCAGTATTTACTGCAGCCATTCCGAGACATGAGAGAACTTGCCATGCTACGAAGACAGCAGATCAAGGTAGTCTTTTAAACACTAAATAGTAGTTTACCTACTTTCATTGTTCTCAGCCTGGCTAGCTATGCCTTTCTTCTTCTTCTTTTTTTTTTTCTCCTTTTGATACTGGAGGATTGAACCCAGGGCTTCTGCATGCTAGGCAAGTACTCTATTACTCAGTTATATTCCCAGCCCCTTATTAGAAAATATTTTATTTTGAAACAGAGTCTCACTAAGTTTTCTAGGTTGGTCACAAACTTGTGATCCTCCTGCCTCAGAACCCCCAAGTAGCTGGTTTTAGTGGTTGAGTGCTCCTGAGTTCAATCCCCGGTACCAAAATAATAATAATAATAATACTATAGACAAATACTTCTTTCTCTTGGTTGGGGTCTAGCCTTAGCATTTCATTTTAAAGTGTCTCAAAAGGTAATTCTAATGAGTAGCTAATATTTAGAACAGCTTAAAAAGAAATATGTTCTTTTTTAAAAAATATATATATATTTAGTTGTAGATAAGCACAGTATCTTTACTTATTTTTATATGGTGCTGAGGATCAAACCCAGTGCCTCACACATTCGAGGCAAGCGCTATAGCCCTAGCCCAGAAATATATTCTTGTTAAAGTACAAAGTTGTAAATACATTGGAAGTTTCCCATTTCCCTCCTCTACCTCTGTCTCCCTTTAATGTTTTGTGTCCTGTATAGTTCTGGATTTCCTTACTAGAAGTCTGGGGAACATTTCTTTAGGGAATAGTGGTTTAATGGTAGTGTTAAAATTCATTACATTAAGTTTTCATTCATGAAGAAATATGTATTACATTTTCTGAGCAAGTATTAAGGGTTTGGATTTGTAGCTGACCACATGTCAGTGTTACTGTGTTTAATCCACATGGAAGTGTTGCTGAACTGGGACATTAAAATTGTGTTTTATATAATGGGTTAAGTAAGAACATTACATAAGAATGTGTGTACGAGAAAATTATCAGTAACTCCGAGAACTTTATGCTTTGTGGCAGGGATTCTTAGTAGGATGGTTAAAAAAGTTTGAGAAGGTAAAGCATGTCTTTCTCCCCCTTTACTAATAAGTCAGGATAGAAATTAATACAAATACATTTGACCCAATCCTTTATTTAACATTCTGAAAAATATTGAGTTGTCAGTCAATTTTATCCTAAACTTGGCTCTTGGATTAAAATGGTAAAAAGAAACTAAGAATTTTTGGACGTTGGAATATCCTCAGCTTTACAAAATGAACTATAGATAGTTCAACTATAGTCTGTTGAAAATCCGATTGGAAGGCCAGGAATGAACTGGACGACTTGGATATCCCACTTGCTGCTAGAGACTCCTGCAGTTGTTCGGTCAGTATCATACTCCCATTGAGTATTGAGTACCCAGAATCTATATGCATTCTTAGTTTTATATTACTTCACACTTTAGAAAATTGGACAGTATGGACTTGTGAGGCTGTATCTGCCAATATCATCACTTATTGCTCCCTTTTTCCTGGGAAGCAGAGTGTAGGTAAGGAAAAACAGACAACATACTTTTAAAATTTGTGACATTTTTTAAGATAAAAATGATATTTTCCTGCATTTCTTTTTCTGAGATTTTGACCCTCAGATGTCCCATCAACTATGACTACTCTATTTTTTTTTTAGCATGTTAAGTGGTGCTATTAACTAGTTAATTTTCACAATAACCCTATAAATTAGATGATTTTTCTGCTTTATAGATAAGAAAACTAACATTGGGATGATTTGGTTTTGTTTGTGTCTAGTTAGTGAGTAGAAGAATTGATTCAGTACTCAAAATCAGGTGTCTGTAATTCCAAATAATTTATTTTTCTAATTACATTACTGATTACTCATTACTTTTACGTTAGAAAATCCATACTCACTAGAAAAGCAATTACAATTGTTTTGGCAAGGTATTTGTGTTTACATAGTTACACAGAAAATATGTAGCGTCATAGAAATATTTTGGTGCTTCTGAAGGTTATTTGCAGCTAATTAAAGTCATGATTTCTGTTTTTTTAAATGTATTTGTGTTATTAAGCCAGGCTAGCTATATCAATAAAAGGATCTTGCTGGCACAGTCTTCCAGGTTAAGTAAATCTTAATGAAATAAGATATGTTCAGTAAATTTTGTGTTTAAGTATAAAAATCACTGCCTAAAATTGAGTAAAAAGCATGTTTCACCCTGATCTATTGATAGGATATGTGTTGGGTGCACTGAGATAATTGTTAGTTGAAAAGCCTTGAAGTAACTAGGTCCAGTGGCTTGCAGTTGTAATCTAGCAGCTTCAGAAGATAAGGCAGGAGGAACGCAAGTTTGAGGCCTGCCTCAGCAACTTAGTGAGACTGCCTCAAAATGAGATAAAAGGGGCTGGGGGTTAGGTCAGTAGTATAAAGCACTTCTGGGTTCAGTTCACAGAAATGCATGCATGTGTGTATGCCCACGTGCACGTGCGTGCGCGCGCACACACACACACAAACCTTGAAGTAGGAAAAGTAGTCGAATGTATAACATTTGTGGTATCATTAATGTTGAAATTAATTCTAGTGGTATATTATTATGTTCAGGTAAGAAAGATTTGTGTGGAATTGATGGCATTATAAAAGCTTTTTTTTTCCTAATCATTAGTCTGCAGTGATTTTGATTAGATGCTGTTCTCCCCATGTCCCATAAATGATTGCCTTATGTGGAGCCTAATAGTCTAGTGAAGACTGATTTCTGGGAGGATGCTTTTTGTTTTGTTGTGTTTTTTTTTTTGTAGTTTTTTTTTTTTTGTATTCCTGGTGGGAGGAATTGAACTCAGTCTTACATATGCTAGGCAAGTGCTTTAACACGGAACCCCATGCCTAGCATCTTTTTCTTTGTTTCGCTTTTTTTTTTTGACTGTTCATTTCCTATCTCCATCTTTTGGGGGAAGGGAACAATCTTAGACCTATGAAATCTTTATCTGAATCATTGACAAGATATCTAATTGAATTTTTTTTGAGAGAGAGAGAGAGAAATTTTAATATTTATTTTTTAGTTTTCGGCGGACACAACATCTTTGTTGGTATGTGGTGCTGAGGATCAAACCCGGGCCACACGCATGCCAGGCGAGCGCGCTCGCTACCGCTTGAGCCACATCCCCAGCCCAAATTGAATTGATTAAACAAAAATCAGTATATTTCTACAGATAAACAGAATATAAAAAAACTTGTGCCAACAAATTCTATAGTTTAGATGAAATGGACACACTTCATAGAAAAATATGAATTTTCAAAAACGGATTTCAAGAAGACGGAAATTTTGGTAGTCCTGTATTTGTTAGTAAAATTGAGTTCATAATTTAACACCTTTACACTCCAGGAAAACTCCAGGTTCAGATGACATCATTAGAGGATTCTGTCAAACAGTGGAGGAAGAAATAATACCAATTCTACACAAACTTTTAATTAATTAATTTTTTATTAGAGCTTTATGGTTATAACTAGCAGTTAGGTTTATCCCAACAAATTCATACATGCATGAAAATGGATCTCATTTCATGTTCTTCCCCATTCCCTTCCTTTTCCCTCCCGTCCTTCCTCCACTGCTCCCTCCCCTAGTCTACTGGACTCCTTTCACTGTCTATTGTTCCTTATATAATCTTATCCTCCTTGCCCCTCTTCCTTTATTTTACCCTAGCTTCCACATTTAGAAAACATTCGACCTTTGAGTTTCTGAGTTTGGCTAGTTTCACTTACCAAGATATTCCTCATTTCCTTCTATTTCCTGGCAAATGCTATAATTTCATTCTTTCTACTGAATGAGTAGAATTCCTCTGTGTGTGTGTGTGTGTGTGTGTGTGTGTGTGTGTGTGTGTATCACAATTTCTTAATAACATTCATTTATTGATGGGCACCTGGGTTGATTCCATAATTTAGCTATTGAGAATTGTGTTTACTAATTCTTTTAGAAAATAAAAGCTGAGAGAATATCCCCGATCTCATTTTATCAGGCCGGCATTTAGCCCCATGCTGAATTCAAATGAAGACATAGAAAAAAGAAAACTACAGATAAATCTCTCTTCATGAATACACTATTTTTTTAACATTCTTTTTTTAGTTGTTGGTAGACCTTTATTTATTTATATGCAGTTTTGAGAATCCAACCCAGTGCCTCGCGCCTGCCAGAAAAGTGCACTAACACTGAGCCCCAGCCCCAGCCCAGAATACATTGTTTTTAATCCTGAACATAAAACAAGGAAATAGGGTCCAGTAATCTATAAAAATGATGATATGCTGTGATCAAGGGATTTTTCTCAGAAATGCAAGAATGGTTTAATATTAAAAAATAAGCCAATGTAAATTACCATATTATCATAATTATCCAAATGAAGGGGGAAAACACTATATATCCTTTCTATAGATGCAGACAAGTGTTTGGCAAAGTTCAGTACTCATTTGTGATAAAACTCAACAAACGAGGAAGAGTGAACTTTCTCACCCTGATAGAGGGCATATATAAAACATCTATAGTTATACCTAATAGTGAATGACTGCATTCTTTGCCTTAATATTGAAAACAAGGCGAGATTGATTAGTTTATCAATTTTTGGATGGTGGTAGTGCTAGTAATCAAACATAGGGTCTTGCATATGCTAGCCAAGCACTCTATCACTGATCCACACTCCATCTCCAACTTTTCCTTTTATTCTGTATTATCCTGGAGGTCCTAGCCAGTTCAATAAGGCAGTTTTTAAAAACATAAATTGGAAAGCAGGAAATAAAGCTCTTTATTTGAAAAAGTCACATGTCAAAAATCCTAAGGAACTTAAAAAACTAGAAATCCTAGAAATAAGTTTAGGGATATAAAATCATTATTAAAAATTCAGTTGCATTTCCTGTCAGCAACTTAAAAATCAAATTTTTTAAAGTACCATTTATATTAGCATCCCTGTGCATAAATTGTTTAGGGATAAGTTTAAGCAATGTATTAAAGCCCAAATATTGAATATCGTAAAACTTTGCAGAGAAAAATTAGGATGCC